TGAAATATATTCTGTGATGGCTATTTCTAATTAAAACATGCCATAAACGAGGTTTCATGGAGCCATCCCCGTAATACANCCCCTCCCTCACGTCACACTTCCCTCACGAGTGGAAGCACGGTAATTACTACATATGAACGCTGGACTGTTATTTATGATGCAAAACAGCCAAACGCTGTAATCAACTTTCTTGCCGAGTCGATTTTTCCTTCGTAACATTTCCTTCTTCGTATCGATTTTTGCCAATATCAAGATATCTCGGTCGTCAATAAGATATATTTATATGAGGACATGAACTCGACGGTCGCAATTGTAACATGCTGTGCAGTCACTAAAGTTGATCTGAGCCAATATCAATAAAAGGTTATTTTTCTAATGTTGATTCAGGCGTCACTAAATACAATTTCCCAGCCCACTATATCGTCTAGTCCTCAGTGTACAGTCCGGTCCTCATTCCACTAAAGTCCAGGTCCACAGTCCACTAAAGTACATCCCTCACTACATTGAAGTCCAATCGTCATTCCATGAAAGTCTAGTCTTCAGTACAGACCTCAGTCAACTAAAGAGGCAAAGTAACTTTGAACAGACTTCCTACAGTAAAGTTGTTCCTCCAGTTCACAGTCCACTCAAGTCCAGTGTTCGGTCCACTCAAATCCAATGCTTGGTAAATTTGTACCTTAAGTTTAAGTCCTCATGTAGTCCACGACAGTCCAATCCTCCGTTCAATGAAGTCCAGTTTTCAGTCCACTCAAGACCATTACTTGGTAACTTAAGTCAAGATCTGTCCACTACAGCATATAGTCTTCGTACACTTAACTCCGCAGTCCACTCAAGTCCTTTTGAATTTCCTCATACACTAAAGTTCGTTCCTCAGTCCACTAAAGTCCAGTACTCAGCTAGTCCACTAAAGAGGCAAAGTAACCTCAGGCGAGTGCTTAGTCCGTTAAAGTTCAGTACTCATTTCTATAAAGTCCTATCCCAGTTCGTTAAAGTTCAGTACTCATATCTATAACGTCCTATCCCAGTCCGTTATAGTTCAGGACTCATTTCTATAAAGTCCTATCCCAGTCCGTTAAAGTTCAGTACTCATATCTATAACGTCCTATCCCAGTTCGTTAAAGTTCAGTACTCATTTCTATAAAGTCCTATCCCAGTCCGTTAAAGTTCAGTACTCATATCTATAACGTCCTATCCCAGTCCGTTATAGTTCAGTACTCATTTCTATAAAGTCCTATCCGAGTCCGTTTAAGTTCAGTACTCATTTCTATAAAGTCCTATCCCAGTCCGTTATAGTTCAGTACTCATTTCTATAAAGTCCTATCCCAGTCCGTTAAAGTTCAGTACTCATTTCTATAAAGTCCTATCCCAGTCCGTTAAAGTTCAGTACTCATTTCTATAAAGTCCTATCCCAGTCCGTTATAGTTCAGTACTCATTTCTATAAAGTCCTATCCCAGTCCGTTAAAGTTCAGTACTCACTTCTATAAAGTCCTATCCCAGTCCGTTATAGTTCAGTACTCATTTCTATAAAGTCCTATCCGAGTCCGTTTAAGTTCAGTACTCATTTCTATAAAGTCCTATCCCAGTCCGTT